AATGTTTTTCTTAAGTACTTTGTTTTGTTAAATTATTTCGTATATATATTGGATATCGATTTGTAAATTAGTCACATTTGAAAAAGAAGTTGTACTTCGAAACATATGTCGTTAGTGTTTTTAAAATATTTCTATATTTTTAAAATAAAAGTGTGAAAATTTACCAAATTTGGTTTTACTCTTTCAAGATTAAATGGATTTTCATCAAGTAAAGGCCGAAACAATAAATAATTTTTGAAAAATGTTAATTCAATTTTAACAGGTGGGTTATTGAATTTTCCTAGGGGGTAGACGTTATTTAGTTCACTTATTGTTATATCTATCCCTAGAACTGATTTTAAATCTTCACAAATCGATATTGCAGAAATATTTTTATGGGGCCTATTTAACCCAAAAATTATTAGATTATTTTTTTTGTATGACACTTTCTAATTTCTCTATCTTTTCTTTCAGTTCAAAATTTTCTTGGGTTAATTTCTTTATTTTATTGTTTTGACCTTCAATTATAAAAGTAACTCTAACTTCAGAAGCTTCTATCACTAATCTTAGTTCTTCTTTAGATTTCCTTATTTCTTCTAAAATAACTTCGATTGCTTTCTTATTCATTTTGGATTTTTATTTCCCTACATTTACTGTACTATATTTTATATATTAGATGTAGGTGTATCAAAAATAAGTAAACACTGCTTTTTTTTTCTTTAGGATAATCGCTGGTTTTTGTTTTGGGATATTATTTTGTGTACTTACGATTATGTTAATTTACTTGTACACTTAGCACTTTCCTATAGGATAATTGCACATATAGTATTGTTGATCGATTATCCACACTTATTGTAATTTTCAGAATTTATTTTCAGTTTAAACTATTGAAATTTGATCATTTTTACGGAGCACTTTTCGAACGTGACTACCTAGTTTATAGCCCAGGAAATAATAAAAATCTGTTAACTGTGTTTTATTTTGCTCTTATATTTAGGTATAATTCACAAAAAAAATAGACACAAAATTGTACTTACCAAATTTCACCATTTAACAAATCTTTTCGAATTGGATCATACCTACTTAAATTGCATTTTATATAGATAAAACTAAATTTATTAATTAAAACATGGAGACTTATTTAGAAAAAAAAATACAAGAGTTTATTCTGTGCATTATTTTGGCAATAAACAAGTTTATTTTTATTATTTTGACAAAATTATGTAAAATTCCCCGTTTTTTGGGACCGTATTTCAAATATGCCGGTTCGCCTCATCTCTAGTCTTCATAGTTATAATGTTAACCAAATAATACAAAATACAAAATTAAAAATAACAACCAGTTATTTTTATAACCGAGGGTTAATTTTAACCATATTTTTACTGAATAGAATACAGTATAGATTACATGGAAAAAATGTGACTAGAAAATTTTACTACAATGTTGTAGTAGTAGACTTGTAGAAAAATACTTAACTTTTTGTAGAAAATTTTACTACAATTTATAGTTAAAAACTATTCATTATTGTAGCAATTGAATTGTCGAATAAAATGCTACAACAGTAGGAAAGAAGACCACAGTGTTTAGTATATTTTACTATTGTTTGTAGAAGTAGAAATTTATTACAATTATCGTAATTACTACTAGTAACTTCTGTAAAAATTTGTACAAATATTAATAATTATCTCTACAAAAAATAACAATTTTCTCTACAAATAATAATACTTTTCATCCCTTCTTATGAAAAAAATTCAATTTTGTTCAAAAATATTCTATATTATTGTAGAAATTCTAAGTCATGTGAATAAAACAGAATTCTGCTATTGGCCAACGTTTTCTGACGTCAATCATAAATGGCCAGACAGCAGTAGCCTTTCGCCATGTTCACAAAACAAAGCATGGTATAAATATAACACAATATTATATTATAAGCACCGATGCGTTTGAGAAAATTTTAATTATAACTTCTATTAGTGGTAAATACATTTATTATTGTTTCTGAATAATTTACCTTTAGATAACTAATTTAAATAACCTTAGTAGATTATTTAAAAAAAAATAGTTGTGGCCAACGATCGAATGTTGTGCCAAGTTCAATGAATTTTTTTGGTTTTAATTGTGACATACCAACTTTCTCATTTTCTTTTAGTTATCTGACGTAGTCATTTAATATCCCAATCAGTGTAAAGGTGACAAATATCTCCGTTTTAGGGATATGAACAGTTCAATAGGTATTAATTTTTATTTAATATTTTTCAGTTGCAGAAAAGCCAACTGAGACTGAGGGAGCTATTATTACTGTTATTTATTACATAATGTAATTAAGACTTTGTATCTTTTATATTAAAACAGTAAATTTTGACTATTTTATCAAGGAACATTTTTTCTAGGTTATAATAATAATTATGGAATACTACTACAAATTTTATTAAAAATTACTACAATTTGTATGAATTTTTACTATTTATTGTGTAAAATTTTCGTATAAATTTTCATGAAACGCAATACATTTTTAATATAAATTCATACAATGAATAGCAAAAATTATAACAATTTGTAGAACAATTCTTATGATGCATTTGGATATTTTTACTACATTTTGTAGATAATAACTCTACAACACATTCTCTACAAATATTTAGAAATTTTTACTACAAATTGTCCCTGTCCCTATATGTACTATTTATTGTAGAGAAAAAATGTATAATTGTAGAAATTTGTTCTACAATTTTTTTCCGTGTATACTAAGTACATTTTTAAAGATAATACTAAACCTTCGTTTAAATATCTCTTTGATTTGTTGCTGTTTGTGTTTTAACACTACGTGACCTATCTCCATCATTGGTATCATATATATTGGGATACCACTCTATGGATAGAAGTTTGGCTTCTCTAGCATTTCCATTTGCAAGTCCCTAAATGAAATGCATCTCAGCCATTTCAGAATTCGTCAAAATTAGCATTGTTATGAGAATATAATGAGTTTTAAAACACCCAAGAATTTAAAAATTTATAAATAGAAGTTAAGAGTTCAAATGCGAACTAATAAATTAACATGTCGTGCTGGAGAAACTAAAAATATTATTTTGAAATTGTTTTTTATTTGTTAATTTCGACAACGGTCGTAGAAACAAAAAAAATACTAGAAATCAAAAAGTTTCTAACCAAATCAGAAAATTTATTTTACCAGCGGCGCATCGCAAAAAAGTTCAGGGGAAGAAAATGGAGCATGACGTTTAAAAAAATATCCTGTAGATTCTCACAATTATTTGGCATGTCCAATAATATCAGCCTATGAATATAAGCTAGATTTTAGAATTTAAGCTAAATATCTCTAAAACTGCAAGAGCTATATAATCTTGAAATGTTAAGATCCTGTATAGTTTTAGTTTTGAAATAAACCAAAGAATTTCCGCCTTTCCTATATACATGATATTTAGGAACATGCTTGTAGTTAGAATTCAGCTAATCCTTAATTACTGTTATAATACACGCATGGAGGTTCAAATTGGAAATGAGACGCAATCTAGTATTCAAAAGTGTCACCACGTCGGCCATATTGATACTAGAACTCCTTCACTTTTGACAGTTTCTATTTTAATATATTGTTTAATCTCATTATAATTAATTATATACGTTTATATAAACTATTCGTATCAAAAACATGAAAAAAACAAAATGGCGCCATGTGCTAAGAACAATTGCACAAGTAACAAAGCTGTGTATAACAAGAACATTTTAAAAACAACATTTCTTAGGTAAGTATAAACACAGTGCAAAGTGGAATTAAAATAAAATGATAATATACTTTTCAGAATTTTTAAATTAAATGGTTTTTTATTAATGACAGTATTAAGTAAATATTAGAAACTACATTTTTAATTAGCATACAATTTTTATATATCTACAGAATAAACACAATTTTATTCATTTATTTCAGATTATCACGGGATCCAGAAAAAGGTATGAAATGGATACATTTTGTAAATAGAAGTTCTTCTGAAACGTACGTTTTATACCATTTTTTCGATTTTTGTTTTATTTACGGTTTTTCTTTTAATTTTTTGTGGTCGTTGTTAGTTGGGGATATTTTTCCCAAAATACGTCAGTTGGTAACATTTAGGTACTAACCGACTATCAGGTGAAATTTATTTACTATACTCTGTTTTTAAATTAGAAGGAGCGTTTTGAAACGACGCATTTACAGAGGGAAAAGTTGGGTTACCTTGTATACGGAGAATTTTTATACAGGGTGTAGCCCGTTTCCATTTGATAAAATTTGGTTACGGTGAATTTAAAAGAGAAGATTAAAAAAAAACACCCTGTATAGGTAATACATAATTTCTGTGTCACTGAAGCAAAACTTATAGCAAAATAACACATATCAGCAAAAACCGCACGTTTTTACGATTTGTTTAAAAGTTATAAGCTCTGGAAATGGACTACTTTTCATTGGTTAAACAAAATATAAATTAAATGGATCGATCCCATATTATTATAAAGAAATACTAAATAAATAGTTTTGAAAACTCTTGAAAACTTAGTTGTGAAATTTGAAACGAATAAATTGGTAATGAAATTGATATTTTTGTATTGGATTGTATATTACTCTTTCCACTTCCTTAAAAAAGATTGCCCATAAAACAGGCAAATAAAACAAGAAATAACGCTATTAGTTTTCTTTATTTTGTTGGCCTGTCTAAATGACTACAGGTATTGTTTGTTTTATTACCCCTGTCAAGTCCATTTACAAACCGATTTTAATAAACGAAAAACAAATATTACAAAAAATCTCTTTATTCTAATATATTTTACGTTTTTTAGTACCAAAACACTTTTGTTATACCCCTTAAGCATTTTCCTAAATTTATTTTTAAAAAATTTATCAAAAATAACCTTAAAAATTGTTCTAAGCAGGTTAACACTTTAAGCCGACGACATACTGCACTTGTGAGAATCTTTCAATCAAAATTAAGAGTAAGGATCTAAATGAGAATACTAAAAGAGTTGCTATTGCTGAAATGCTCGTGCATAAAAGACGAAGTAAAAAGTTTTACACGGCACTGCAGGAGTCAACAAAGAAGAGTAAAGAGTCTAATAATGTAGTTGCCCTTGCGTTTGACTATATACAAAACTTACAGCTTCCAAAAATACCAGTACAGGATTTATTCAATTTAAGACAATTAACAGTAAGGGTTTTTTGCATCCACAACATGAAGACTGACCAAGTTGTTTACTTCATTTATCATGAAGGTTGTGGCAAGAAAGGCCCTAATGAAGTATGTTCCTTCCTTTACCAGTTTATAAAGGAATATATACCTAAAAGTGTGAGGAAACTGCGTCTCTTTAGCGACAATTGTCCTGGTCAAAACAAAAATAACTACCTGATTCGAATGTGCCTGTTCCTGAAAGATTCCGGCAGATTTAATGATATTCAACAATACTTTCCCATTCGAGGACACTCGTTTCTGCCTTGCGATAGAGACTTTGGTAACATTAAAAGAAAGTTAAAAAAAGTCGATTGTGTTAATACCATACGTCAGTATATAAAAATTATAGCATCTTCCAGCAACAAACATAAATTTCTAATCCATCTTGTGGATGGAAAGGATATAGTGAATTTTAAAGACTGGTGGCTTGGACTTTATAAAAAAACAGCTATTTCTATTGGAACTTCTCAAAGAGGTACTCCAAGAGATAGAAAAGTTGCGTTTACCATCAGCAACTTTCATCAGTTTTCCTTCTGCAAGAATGATGGGAAAGGTGTAGTACTTGCCAAACACTACATTAATGGATTCGAGAAACACACATTTTATCTAGGACTTTCCAATGTTGTAGCTGAACCTAAAGTATTTTGTTACCTAACAGGAAAACTTCCCATAAAATCAGATAAAATGAATCACATAAAGAAATCGGCTAAATATGTGAACGACGTTGAAGGAACAAAAGAATTTTGGGATAATATTTTTAGTTGGCCTATTATAAATTAAAAATCTTTGTTTTGTTAATCCAATTTTTTTACAGTCTGTCTTAATAAAGTGTTTTTCGTCAATTACTCCCTCTTTCTTTTTGATTCTTCCAATTGATAACAGAAAGGGTATATGTTAGTCAACTTAAAAGGTCTATAACTTTTTACTGCTTAAAGCAAATATTTTCATTTACCCCTAAAAGGGATAGGGTTTTGATATTGTTTCTACATTCACATTCAGTTTTTTATATAAATTATGCTTCAGTTCGAAAAACAGTTATTTGCATTTATCTCAGAAGTTAAGTTTAGTGACATATATCCTTTCTGCAATCAGTGATTCATATAGTCTAAAGTAGTGTTTTTCAACCTTTTTCATGATGCGACCCCCCTGGTATGAACAAATATTTCGCGACTTCCCGACCCTTCGTATTTTTATCATGTATGTATGTGTATGTTACACTGTTACAAATATTCATTCCATACGACGTTTTTATGCGTCTCCATAATTAGGATTCGGATATGAGTACATAATACAGCACGTTTTGTTTGTGCGTTTTGAATCCAGTGAAAAATTAATGGAAGAAATACTATTTTGCAGAACGATTTCCACAAATACTACGGGTCAGTGCTTGCATAACATGTTTCTTGAAGCTACGCAAGATATGAATATTGATTGGGCAAATAAATGCATTGCTCTTTGCAGCGACGGAGCAAAAGCGATGACTGGTGCGAAGAGTGGATTTATCGCTAGGCTGAAACAATAGATGCCAAACGCATGTTGGGTGCATTGCTTTCTCCATCGCTAAGCTTTTGCGGCCAAAATCTTCCCACAGGAATACAGCCAAGTTCTAAATATTATTATAAAGATTGTAAATTCTATTAAAGGAAAAGCTTTGCAGACACGAATGTTTCGGATTATTTGTAAAGATATGGGGCACTCTACCAACATTTACTTTACCATCCAGAGGTTAGGTGGTTGTCAAAAGGCAAAGTACTGACCAGAGTTATGGAACTTCGTGCTGAATTTTTAATATATTTACAGCAGGCCAAGCATTTAAATATCTTGAATAAAAGTCTTCATGAAAATGTCATTACTGCAAAAGACAAAATACATGGCTCTACAAAAAAAATTGACTTGTGGTCGTCGTCTATAAATCAAAATAACTTCGATTCATTTTCGTCGACACAATCTTTTACTGAAGCAATCGCATGTGAGATAAACATCAAGGCATATATACTTAGTATGAAAATGGTGTTAGATAATTTGAAAGAAGAATTGTGTCATTACTTCTCAGTGCAAGAGACATCGGAGAACACTGGGCAGAGGTGGATCTTAAAACCGTTTTTATAAATGAGGTTAATTTGCCAACTAAGCTTAAAGAGGATATGCTAGAATTATCTGCCGATGGGATGTTACACTTGGAATTCAAGTCTGTTAATTTGGATACCTTTTGGTTAAAGAGAAAAACAAAATACCCGGAATTGACAACTGAGGTTTTGAAGTGTTTGATTCCATTTGCCACCTCGTACTTATGCTAGTTGACATTTTCATCAATGGCCCAAATAAAAAGTTAGCAAAGAAATCGCTTAAATTTGGAAAACGATTTAATTCTGTGTAGTAAATACAGATCCACGTTGGGAGAAATTGATTAATCAAAAACAAGCACAACCTTTGCATTAACATGAGTCTTAGGATTTTATTTTTTGTTAATTTGTTTGTATTAACATGCAAATGTTTATGAGTAGGTATATCCTTTTGTTAAAATTATCTTACTTAATAAAGATTAAAAATCTGATTTTTTACTGAAGTTCTCTCGACCTCTGGCGACCCCCCTACAGAAGCTTTGCGACCCCCCAGGGGGTCGCGACCCACAGGTTGAAAAACACCACTCTAAAGCATAGTCCAGACCCATCTAAAAAATGTATAAAAGATGTTTAAAATGTGTAACCAAGAAAAAACTCTTTTTTTTATTGATGACCTTCACAATATACCATGCTTATGGGAGGTAAAGTGTATGGACTATAAAAAACGCAATAAAAAAGTGGATGCGTATGAAATGCTTGCAAAAAAGTACAAAGTCATTACAGAAGATATTGAAAAAAAGATTCAGTCACTCAAAAATCAATTTCGCCGAGAGCATAAAAAAATTATTAGACTCTCAACGAAGTGGAGCATCTCCCAAGCAAGTGAACTGGTTTGGCTACGAAAGATTATTATTTTTACTACAAGGCTATGAGTCTAGAGTTAGAGAGAAAGCCCACTAGCGTGACAGGTCGCACGACATCAATCCACAGATTTAGAACAATCCAATGAAGTAGAAAATCTAAGAATGTTTTATGATAATATCAATAACTGTATAGATCTTTAGATGTCTAGTTTATTTAGTCGCTAAAATGTTATTTCTATTTTGAATAAAGTTTTGATGGTATACTTCGTAATTTATTTGGCTATTTGAACCAATATTTAAGGAGAACTTGAGTTTTGATCACACATGGCATATGCTTGTTAAAATGATAGTAGAGTCATGTGACAGTAAAGGTAAGCAGAGTTTGGATTTACTTAAATGTTATTGCAGATAGACAATAATTTTTAATTTTCCGATTTACGGGTTCATGTGTCAAAAAAAAAAGAATTATTGTATGCTATCTAGACAAATAAAATTAATTTGCATATACACTTACTTTTATATAAGGTTTTAAAGCTGTAACAATGGCATTGCACACAACAGGTACTATTTCTGATATTGACTGCTTTGAAATTCGAAATGTCTACATCAAACTAGTATATGAATCACCACTTGCCAAATTGCTAATCGCAATGTAACAGGGATGGTTGCTCTGTATTTTGTATCTTGTTTACGAATATTTGGGCCAATCATTTGAATTAATATCTCAAAATCAGTTGGAGTCTTTCTAACAAAAATTTTAAATCCAGATCCATCATTAAATTTTAGGTCTCTCTTAATAAGTTCGAAGAATGTTCTATTCTGTTTTGCAGGAGTTGACGTACCCACCAACGTTTTTGTTTCCTTCTCTGTTTTGACGTAAAATATAATATATATCCAGCACAAATGCCCGCCACTATCTCACTATTCACCGACATGTTTTTGTCTTTAGTCTGGACTCAAATGCTACCTCGTTTAAACTAATGTTTACTGGAAACAAAACACCATACACACGTGTATAAATGTTTTGTTTGCAGGCAAATATTTCCAAACATTTGTTTGTGGGCAGCGTATGTAGGTCTGGACTAGGCTTAAGGGTGTGCCAGAAAAAACAATTATAATTGCCTAGAAATAGTAGAGAACCGAAGTAAGAAAGTAAATGCTTCTTGGTATGTTCGGAATAAAGACGAGTACTCAAAGTTGAATCTACTCCAGAAGAAATTAAAAAAAATCCATAAACCCTCCAACTTTTTATAAAATTTATGGTGTAACTTTAAACAATCAAAACTTTTTTTAAATGAAGTAATCAAGCAAAATTAATAAGTTATTGATAACAGGTGAAAAGTGAAAGCTAGATTTTAAATGAATAGTAACTAACAAAAATATTTATTAAACGTGTTAGTTATTATTTAATGAGTAGAGTTTTTGGCCCTTGCCTAATATTCTCAGAAGCTTTATCAAGTAATTCGTATTGGAAAATAAGCACTAACTGTTAAAATATAAACAATTTCCTAATTTTAATTCTCACTATTCAATAACGAATTATTGGATATATATTTTTTTATTGTACAGGGAGTATCGTGGACTGCTTCATCTAGGAACATAAAAGCAATTTGAATTGTATAGAAGGCAACAAATATAAACAAAGTAAAAATATAAAAACAATATTTGAGAACTCTCTAGAAATAAAATAAAAATACAAAAATTTATTTTTAAATCATTTAATGAATGTATTATATTTATTCATTCATTTTTTACATAATCCCCTAACACATCTAAATGACTTCCCACAGTCTTTATTGATCTTACAAGGACGACCACCTTGAGCTGAAAAATTAATAATATTAATAATTAAATGACTTATTAAAGGTAAAATATTATTATTTTTCTAGATTCTAGAGTAGCCATACTCAACCTTTTTTTCTTCGGGCCACATTTGTATGTTTGCTATGTTACACGGGCCGCAATAATTTTTTTTGTAATCCATATAAAAATTAGTTAGTGGGATCTTTAATAAATAAAACCCACAACATAAATATATCCTGTCGGGTTACTGCAAAAAAATTTTTAGAGTTTCGAGAAAACGCTGTTCAGAAGGTCAAAATTGAATAAAAAAATCACTAAAAGCTTCAAACTGTTTAAAAACAATAACACTAATTAAAAAAAAAGTATTCTAAACATAATTAGTATAAACTAAGAATCCATTGATTTTCTTTCTTTTTGCACTTTTTTGTAAGTATTTTTTTCACCCTTTCATGCATCCCTTTATTGGTTTTTGAAGGTTGGATGAATCGCGGAGAGAAAGGGTGACGTTACCACCATGATGATTTCGGAACAATCGAGAAAAGCTAGAGACGGCTCTAAGCAAAAAAAAACAAATGGTTTGGGCAAAATGTTGAAGTGTTTGAATAAATACATTCATTCAACAAAAATAAGTGTTTTGACCTTTATATTTTTTTGGCAGAAACACTATAAGGAATCGGACTAAATACATTTAGCAAAATTTCTCTTATCTGGTTTAGGTTAGAGATTAATGTTTTCGCGCATTTCGCTCAAGATTTTAAAAACAGAAGCCTTTAGTTTTAAAAAGCACCTACTTAATAGTTTTTCGGGATGCTAAAAAGCTTGGAGAGCCACTGATTGAGTATGGCTTTTCTAGAGGGTTATAGTTGTAGATATGTATACACAGATTAAAAAGGAATGTAATCAATTTGCAAACGTATTTCCAGATTAACTTAAAAATGATTAGTTGGTAGTTTTTAGCATTTAACTATTATAAGAACTCTATAAAATAATAAACAAATTAGAAACAAAGACAATAAATTTTAAAACTATAAACTTCGTCCAAGAGTTAGGA